AGCAGGATTTGATCATGCTTCTCCAGTGTTGAGATCTACTGTTCCTCACATCCTGCAGCCTGTGTTGTCCTACTATTTCCCAGTTTGGGCTGTCTCTCATGGGACAGTGGCCATGCTACTGTACATGACTCTGCTGACAGCAGTGTGGCAGAGCCAGACCCAGGCCTGCTTATTGCTATGTTGGTTCATTTCAACTGCCTGCATCTGTGAAACAAATACTAACTGTCCTTTCACTGGGATTTTATATCCTGTTCTCATACAGTCTTATACTTTTAACAGAGTCTCCAATGTCTTTCAAGAACTTTTTGAACTAGAGCTCATGCTAATTTAACTGATTTCACATGTTGGGGCCATACTTACCTACTTCAGGCTTTCAGATTTTAGTAATAGGCCAGAAACTTCTCAGACTTTTAAAGTCTATTTGTTAGAGCTGGCAGAATAGAACTACCCTTTAGGAGCACCAAAATAATTACCAAAATTAACAGTAATTGTTTCTCTTCCTTGCTGGGAACTTCATATTCCCAGTAGCTTCCAGGTCTGGAAGAGAAGAGCTGACTCATGATAGTTTGGCCCTGATGCTGCTCAGTAGAAATGTTTTAATTACCAGCAGGGCTGTGTGCTTCCTGGTTTCCAGGACAGCCCGTCTTCTAAACACTTTAAGCTGTTTTTTCCTTTGGTCTTTTTACTGGAGATGGAACTTCCCTCGTGGTCTGAGCTTCAGTCTTGTTTCTTCTGCTTTCAAGAACACAGTCCCCCTCTTGCTTCCCAGTTCATGACTTGCTTCTCCCTGTGTTCTTTTATCTTCAGTTAGCCTTCCCACAGGCTGCAACATTTTCAACCCCATCTGGATTTTTGTATGAGACATTACATGTGTTTTGCAAAAAAAACTTATTTCTGTTACTTTTTACCTCATCATAAAAGGTCTACCCTCTCTGTTATTCTGATACCTGTGGATGCTTCTAGCTCATTCCCCCAGTTTTCAGCAATAGTAAAACTGTTTTCAATGCACATAAAGGGTGATTATGCCATGAAACTGGCAAGTAGACACGTCAGGGAGAAGGCAGCAAACCCTACTTTGGCCCAGATTTTATTTCATCTGTCCATCATGATCAGGACTTCTGTTTAAGGCAGCTCTTTGGCTTTAACTAATCAGAATAGAGTGAAGGTACTTTCCAGAATAACCTCTGAATACGAGTGAGGGAAGATAGGGCACTGAGGAAGTCTTTAGGCCTAGGACACTTTCCTTCTAAGTTTGGGGACAAGCACATGCTGTTTCCTGTCTTTGGAAACTGAAAACTATGTGTCAAAGATCTTGAGATTGTTGCACCCATGGAACTCCAGTAATACTTAAGTCGTGCTCAAGAGGAAACTTCAAAAGCAAGAGCTGAGAATATTCTGAAGGCGGCAGAGGTTATTTGCATTAACACAAGGGAATAGCTCATATTTTGGAGGAAAAAAGTCTAAATTACTTGTGTGTTGCTTTGTCTTGTTCAAAGGAAAATATTTTTAAAGCAGAAAATGTTTCCTGTCCTCTCAACTGCTTAAACCACTGAGGACTATTAGTATTTTAGAACTCACTTCTGCTTCTATCATCTATGAAATCAACTCTAATATAAACATCTGCCAGGAAAAAGAGGAGACACATTACCTTAAGCAGCTCTGTTCACCTCGACTTACTGCAAGTTATCATCTTCCCAAGTTCCATTTACAGAGACGCAGGCCCCAGCATGTCAGTATCTATCTTACCTACTTACTCGTTATTTTGCATGCAGTGAGAGACTTGTTTGCCCAGTTACTCAGAAGGAAACTGCATACAAATCCAAGCTGAACATCTCATGACCTTGCATGATTCCAGAAATAATAGCCATATTTTAAGAACAAAGGAGTTCCAGCAGGTTCCTATTTCAGGGATCAGTATCTTTAAAAGTTTCTGCTAGTGGCAGCATGAAGACAGTAATCTGACAGTTGTAAAGATTTTGTCTGCATTATATGAGCTGGAAAAGCCATCAGTCTCATTTATTTAACCCTCTTATTTTGTTGCACACAATATTCCTGGTGGCATAAAGGTTTTAACTAAAATATAAAATGTAGAATAGTTAGGGTTGGAAAGGACCTGGCCTTGAACACTGCTAGGGATGGAGCATTCACAGCTTCCTTGGGCCAACCCATTACAGTGTCTCACCATCCTCACTGTAAAGAACTTCTTCCTTAGATCTAATCTAAACTTCCCCTGTTTAAGTTTGGAGCCATCACCCCTTGTCCTACCACTACAGTTCCTATATACAGCTCTTATTCTTTGAAAGGATGGATTCTGATAAAAATCTGCTGTAAATTGTAAGTAGCACCACTGAGTCATAAGTACATTTTTGTTGTTAGTGTCTGTTAATACTTTCCTGTAATGGAAAGGGTTTGGTTTTACCTGGCTTTAGCTCAGATGAATGTACGCAGTCACTAGGGCTTGCCTTCCTGTTAATGAAGGGAAACAGGCACCTTAAAGGGACAGTTAAATCATATCTAAAAATAGGAAAGTTCTTGTTCAGACGCATACAAGAACAGTGTTACAAAGGTACGGGTGTAGCATAAACAGCAGCAGCAGCTGCTATTATGCCTGATACATGGAAACTTCAACAGTGTGGACATTTTTCCAGCATTTTGCTACCCAGCACATTTTCAGGTGGGTGGCCCTGTGTAACCTGAAAACAATTTATAGTGCTCCACTGCTACACAAACCCACGCTGTTGAGAAGCCACATCTTGCATGCAGTGAAGTTTCTGTTAACATAAAGCCCTATGCACAGTAGATTTTCTTCTGAAGCTGCCACTGCCAAGTGGATTCATGCGCACACAAGTTTAAAAAATAGCAGAATAGAATTCCAGCAGACAGATCTTGAAAAAAGCAGTATTTATTTTAAAGTACAACCCAAAGTTGTATCCGTAAGAAATGCACAAGGTATCTTGTTTCTTCCACAAGTCTTGGCTGTGTGCATTTCAGTTCAACTTAAAAATGCATTCAGGTTTACAAATGTACAAACAGCACAGAAAGTGTGTTACAGTCTCAACAGAATGCGCTTACATTCAGCCATTTTGCTCTTAAGGTTGTATGTTGGTTTTGCTGTTGTTTTTCTTGATTTTTTTTTTCTCTTTTTTTTTTTTTACATTCTTAGAACCTGTGTTAACAAAGACAGCCTTATTTTAAAAAAATACTCTGCATTTTAGCACAAAGTGCCTTCTGATTTTAAGTTAGAACTTGGAGGATAATACTGGAAAAAATTTAAAAACCCAAACCTGTACTTTTCAGAAAAGTATTGCATGCCAGGACTGCTTTAGAGTTCAGATTATTTCCTAGAGAAAGATGGCAGATGGTAAAACATGAAACCAGGGAAATTGTTGGGATTTACAGCTTCGGCTGCAGTTGGGATTTGTGGCCACACCCAGACTTTTTCAAGCTTATCCGCAATCTCACGCTACCATATTGCAGGACAGACTTTAAAAAGGAGCAAGTGATGAAAGCGGGACTGGGGGGTGGGGGGGGCAGGTTTTTGCAATGACCAGCAACAGCCCGCAAATGATGTTTCAAAAATTTGCATTCAGAATTGTATCATGACCTGGATAAGAGTTCTTTCCTTTTGCTTAACCTCAGTTTTCGTGAGGATAGTGTGAATTAGACCAAGGATCTGAACTTCTTCTTCCAATTGTTGGGCTCCAAATTCTCCAAGGGTTGTAGGTCTGTCCCATGTCTTCAGCAGGGTTGGCAACGGTGGCAGCAGTAGGTGGAGGAGGAGCAGCAGAGGAGTTTTCACTACCCATGAGATCAATGCCTGACAGGGCGGTTGTTGGAGTGGTGAAGGGAAGGCTGCTGTTGAGGTTACTTGACCAAATGGAACTGCTGAATGGAGTAGTGGACCACAGGCCACTTGGGTTGCCTAGGATCGACTGCAGTAAAGACAGAGCCAGGTAAGAAGCAGCTTGGTAACTTCTATTTTCACCCTGTTTACAGCCCCCCCGAAAAGTATCTAAGCAGCAACATGCCTGCTGTGAAATCCCTTCCAGCTTCACTGCAACATGGAGTTCCAAACTTCCTTCACTAGGGCTTGACCAGAGAAGCCACGCTACTAACAGTCACCGACCATGTCTGGTAACTGAACGCACTACAAAGCACAATTACGTTACAGGCTTTTAAGCTGTTTTCATTTGAGTCTGTACATCCCCATACCATTACTAATTTAAGCACTACTAGTATCCAAGCTTTAACACACAGGCACCAGAAAGCTCCAGCTTAACTAAACTAGTTAGAATGAGGTAGATAGGTAGATAAACATGGTTCAAGTCTCAAAAACTGAACAGAATTCAAGTTGTAATGGAAGGTAGCAGCAAAGTCTCTTTCTTGATCCTTTTCTGGCTGTTTGCAAACTTACCTCCTCACATTCAGGCAAGGGAATCTATTTAAATTGTACACTTCAGATGAACCTACCTGTGCTGAGCCCCACTGTACCTCCCCATATTCCCAGTATATACTTTTTCCGCCCATCCAAAATTTTTCCAGATGATGGGAGAGGGGATTGGAGAACTGGCCATTTATCACAGAGTTCCAGTAAGTCTGGCCTGGCTCAAGACATCTGGAAGTCTCTGACAAACAGTCATGGTGCAGATGCAGGTGTGCTGCTGCAAGACATCACAAATGCATTTGGGATGCATAGGACAGGTACAACAAGCATGGAGAACACATGCAGAAATTAACAAGGCCCAGGTTTTGTCAACTGTTTTATTAAAGCCCAAACAGTAGCAAGCAACAAGCAGGGGAATCTATCCCATGGTGTGGTGGAAAGTGATACCCGGAAGCAGCCAAAGATGGAGATGAGAAAGGTTAGCATAACTTTCATGCTAATATTAGCACAGAACCTGCTACATGTAGGCTTAACGCACTACATACCTCAGCGCCAACAGATTTAATGTACATATGCTGTAAATTCAATTTGCAAATATACAGTAAACTTGATACATCCAAAAGGCAGTGGACTTGTTGAGTAAGTGCTGTAAGGTATAAACAACCTTATGTTTGGATTTACTGGGTGGAAACAGGGCATCCCTTCCCAAAATCTCTGCCCTCTCAGATAATGCACGCTAAAGGTTAACCAGTATCAGTGCACTCTGCATCTGAAGATGAGAATAAAAATCCCTTTAGAAAAGGAAACAAGGTAGACTCTGAGAAAAAGGTGTTCATTTCAGGGTTTTATTTACTCCCCTGGAATGAAGAAGATGGATAGGCTCTGTCAAACCATACCTGAAACTGGTTGGACACTAACACATTACCAAAGGGTCCACATAAAATTTGACACTGAGGGCTGGGCAGGGGTTTTCAGTGTATTCAGGGGTTAACTGGGCCAACGCTGTTAGAACTCTCCAATGTCACTTGGAAGCTGAGCCAAACTAGGGTCATACTGTATTCCTGTTACATAACTAACTACATGGTTACATTTAAGCTACACAAATACTAGGCTACTGAGCCTACAGCAGGAAACACTCATTCTGCTGCTCAGACATTGAGCCTAACACACTAAAAGTCCACCCTATTTCCTGATGTGGGCAAGAGGCAGGAACTGTTCCTATGTGTTCCAAAAGTGTGTGGGAGAGCCTGACAGAAATGCAATTGCTCATACAGTAGAAGCAACCGGGAGAGGAGCAGCGGAGAAGAGTAACATAAGAGGAGGTCCCTTTCAGGGCTGGTGGAGGGAGGTACGAAGTGGTTGGTAGACAAAACTACAGGCAGGGAAATGAAGTAAAGGGACTGTGGTTAGAAAGAAACCTGGGAAGAAGTACCAGCAATGCAGCAAGGCCTGAGGGGACCCCAGAGTCAAATGCTATTTAGTACAGAAGCAGAGTTGTGCATAGAGTGTGAAAGCAAGAGGAGTAGGGAAGTAGGATAACCAAAACAACTCCCCAGAAACCTTCCTAGAAAAGAGGGTAACGCAGAAACCACTGTGTAAGTGTGGTTTGCAGGAACGGATTTGCTCTTTTGCCAGAAAGCAAAAAGGACAGGGCCGTGGGCTGGTACCTGCTCTCTCAACTAGCACTCAGAGCAAGGAAGTGCAGTAAAAGAACAGCCAGGTTTTCCTGTTCTGGCTCACCATAAGCACTTGTAAAAAAATTACTATCATTACAAAGGCTTTGAACATTTCAGTCCATTTGCTGCTTCTGGTTTATTAAGTGATCTTCTCTTCAAATAAGCTCCTAAAAGGCTTTTCTGCTCCCTCAGTGAAGTATTTAAAGGAAGAGACTGACAATTCTTCTATATTGTTTTGTCTGGCTTCCATCTCGATGCTTGCTGAAGCACATTACCAAATATTTTTTTCAGAAGCAGCAACGAAATAGGAGTTGGGAGCCAGAGAGATTCTGCTGGTGGTCCTCAATCCCTCCTTCTGCCAAATGCTGAGAAATCTACCCCCCATCTGACCAAAAAGCAAAACTCCCTCCTTACATAGTTTTACAGCTGTAGCTGTAACCACATGACAAGGGCGGGATCAGTGAGTGTGTATCTATAAGAAGCTGTGTGACCTTCTTCAGCTTGCCCTGCCCCCCACTTTCCCCCACTCCATCTGAACTGCTACCAGGTGGAGTAAACACTGCCTCTTACTCACTACAAAAGCATTTTCAGAAGACATGATGAAGAACGATTTCAGCTGGCATTGAAGACAGCTGTTGTGGTGTAAGTTTAATTCTGACAGATAGAGGCTCAAGGATGAGCGCGCTACAATCTGCGTAAAAGTTGGTTTTCTTCTTCTTTGGCTATACTCAAGATCTCCATCAAAATTAGTGGACATTTTAAAGGCTTCACCTTATGCTCAGCCCTTTAGTGTTTTTTCTAAAATGCAGGCTTTTAGATATGGGGTTTTTTTTGACCTTTCATTAATTTGTAAGTCGGTGCAACACTTGATTGAGGAATCAGAACTGAAGTCTGAAAGTTACCATATTGGCTATTCTGCAACTGTCTCTAAACCTGGAAGCAACAGTGGCAGTATGCAGCCATGGCATGGGAGCAGAACAGCTCTTTCCACAATCCCAAAACACGTGAGAATGGAAACCACTTTTGTAAGTACTGCAGGATGCTCTCGGGAGAAATATTTTTATGCGAAGCAATTTACGTGGATCCATCATCCACAAGTGAGCAGACTACTCATTCTTCGTCCAACAACCATGCCAACTTAACTACACAGAAACATGAATACGCATAACTTCCCTTTTCCTTTATTCTTCCACTCTTGGTTTGGGGTTTTTTCACCCAAATTTAAAAAGCCTCTAAATGAAATCAGATGGCAAAGACAGAACAGGTTGGTAACAGGAATAAAACACTGGATTTGGACTGAATACTTACTGCAGTTGTATGAGTTGGGGAACTTGAGCTTGTTGGCCAGGAGGGTACAGAATCTGTAGCTGAAGGATCCCAGATGGATGATGGAACATTACTGAATTCACTCCAGTTTCTCTGAACATCCTGCCCATAAGCAGATCGGGCTAAACCAAGCTTGCTAAAAACCTCTAAAAATAAAATGAAATAAAACTGAGTACATTACTCTTCCTCTTTTTCCAAGAACTACAGCAGACTAATACTCTTCACAGTTATTACCCATATTTTTCTAGCAGGTCCTGCAGCAGCACAAGAATTGAGATTAGGAAAGGTTACACACATGGTAACACAGACCTCATCTCATGTGTCCTGTGCCATTCCTCTAACAAGTTAGCTGCAGGAGGAGCAAGTGAAGGTGCTGAAGGCACCTCTCATAACCATAGCACTCACTTGGCTTGCAGCAATTCCCCCTGCCCAGGTAGCTCCTGGTGTGGGAGATGACACTGGCTGTGCCCCAGCCCAGGCCCCATCTGTGTTCCGAGAAGGGGAGGGCAGCACCAGCACTTGCAGTTCACATGGTCCAATCCACAGAACTGACCCCAGGCATCTTACTGCCATCCCCCAGAGTTGCTGGTGCTGAGGACTGCCGATGAAGACCAAAGAACCCCCAGCTTTCTTCAGTAAACATACCATTTTCTCAGCAGATGGCATTTTTTCAGCAGACATACAATGCATTTTACAAATGGCACATACCACGTTTGCTTTGCTTATCATCTTTTGCAGACACCTTAAAAATTACCATGCATCCTCAAACACGGTATGCAAATCTGTGTAAGTAATTACACAGAGCATCCATGCCCTGCAGTACAGCCTACCTGCACTAAAGCCCATCGCAGTAGTCACTTATGGAAGGTCTACCCAAATATTTAAATACAGGAATTAACTGCCAGGTTTAGCATGCATCGCATCATCATGCAGCTATACAACCGTTAGAGGAAAGCAATACGAGGGATTGGCCATTGCTTCATATATACAGCAATGGTTTTGTGCAGGTTTCAAGTGCTCAGGTGACCCCGGCCTGGTGGCACCCTTTTGACACCTACAGTAAATCTTCAGGGGGGGAGGAAGACTAAGGAAAAAACAAGTATCGCTGAAAGAGAGAAACTTCAAAAATTAGTATTTCCAGCCAACAAACTCTCTTTAACAATTTCCACTAATTCTCTGGGCTGAAACACCACCAATGTTCTAACATGCCTTCTTACGCAGTCATCCTTTTGGGAGGCAGAGATGGGAACACTGTCTGTACTTAAGACCAGTGGAATGGAGACACCCCACTTTTTTACCTGTATTTGAATATGGAAAAACACTTGAAAACAAACACTCACCTCCAGTTAAGTTAAAAGAATGGCTAAATGCAGAAAATGAGTTGAGAGGCGTGAAGTCAGGGCTGCTGGGGTTGGTGTCAGGACTCCACAAACCAGAACTAAATATTAGGGAGCAACGGAAAAGCAAAATGTAACTCATTAGCACAGTACTACCAACAACTTTAACTTACTGATCTAGGTACACAGGTATATGTACAAAAATATATGTGTGTGTGTGTGTATGTATTTAACTATATATATTTAATGGTGATAAAGAGTTAGGAAATCAGCTTGTGTTTTAACAAGAGATTTCAATGAAATATCATTTTCCTGTGTATATAGCCACCTTGGTTATATACACACTGCTATAGGCATAATGCTCTAATCCACAGACTGAGCTCCAACAGAAACCTGAGAGTAGCTCTCTTGATCAGTTTTTCAGAAAACTTACAGGATCTAACCTGTAGCAGCTCAGAAGGGTACAAATGCTCCCACTCTGGCTTTTGGGCAAGCTTCTTGAAAACACAGGTGAGTTAACTGGGAACAGTGATAAACATTTACAAACCCAAACCAAAATGCCACCCACAAACTTTGCTCACAAAAACAATTCCTTTGCGTATTGAAATTTGAATTCAGGTCTCTCTCCTATTCCAGAAAGGTTACAGGACACTCGCTGCTTTTTACAACTGAGACAGCCATGCGCTGCCAAAATATGTCAGAAGGATAGCATGCCTTGGGGAACATGACTGAGCACAGCTGTATTCTGCTCCTACTCATAATGCAAAGCCCCGTGACAGTTCTGGTCTCAGTGTTAAAATTGGGAGTGAAAGACACTGTTGTACAGAGCAAAGATACTCTGCCTGTAAACTATTTCAAGCGACCTTGGTACATATTCCTCAATACCACAAAAGCCAAGCTGATTTCTCAATGTTTGGATGCCCAGGAAACACAAGATTGTTGGGTTACTTGGAACAAGGGGTAGAAAGTCCCCATCACATTCAGAACATCCTTCTCTACTTCTGAGTCACTCTCAAGTTCCACATTTTTTTGCAAGGTGAGAGATGCTGTGCCCAGGCTTTAAAAAGTAGTTTAAAACCCCAAAGGAACAGGAATGAATTCTGACACTACCTTCAAAATGCCATTAACAGCTTACAATATTCTTTTCTAGGGCCCTAGGTATTTGCCTAGAGAATATAAAAATTACCTGTCAGAGCCATCACTGTCAATGACTGTGTGGGAAATGGTTATATTGCTGGCAACATCTGTCTTGCTTGGAGAAACCTTTGGTAAACCACTGCCACCTGCAAATATATATGAAGTTAAATTTTAAAAAATAACAAAATAAAAGAATATTCAGGAAATATTCAGAAATATTTAGAACTCCAAACTGTTCTAGTACCTGGGCTCTTGTCATAACCTGCAGCTACAGCAGCAAAAGTGGGGTTACCATTCCTGCCTGGAAGAGAAGCTGCCTTTGCCAGCTTATGTTTGGTACCATTAGGCTGCTTGCTTTTCATTTCACTTAAAGGAGAGGAAAAGAAAAAAAAAAAGTCAGGTTTTGGACTTGAGCAGTTTGATAAAAAAGTAGTAATTTAAGCTAGCATTCATGAAGATGTTAACAACAGATCAACAGTTCATGTAATTTGCACATTTTTCCAATCTACCAAGTTGTCAGAAACCCCAGAACAATATAAATAGCATGGTAAGACATGCACAGTAGTGTCTGCCAAAAAGCAGTTTCCATGGGAGAAGGAAATGGGTGTGAGAAAAGGGAGATGCACCCTGTGAAGCACATGGGTTCCGCCAGCACTCTGTGCTTGGGAAGTCAGTGGGAGGTACAGATTTGGACTCACTGGCTGCAGCTGCTGTTCACAATGCTGCTGTAGGTGCCTCCTCGTGGCCCAAAGGCAAAGGATGCAGGAGGAGGAGGAGGAGATGGAGAGGCGGGTGTTGGGGAGGGCTGTCGCTGCTTCAGGAAAGCATCTGCGTTCAGGGTTTGCAGAGAGAGTTTATAAAGATTGTCTGTGGCTGGAAAAAGAAACACAAAATAACTTCCTGTAGCACCTACATTACAGCAAGGCTTCCCAAACTCCTGCTATTCCTTCAGTTCAAACTGAGGAATTACGACAAAGGCTGTTCCCAAGTAGCAGCTCCTGCTCTATATTTACCTGTCATTATTCAGGTTTACTACCTGTTTTCAGAGACTGTATTGCAGTGAGAACACAGAGATAAACTGATTTGTACAGAAGTGAGTGCTGTGGAGAGGGATGACTTTATGTAGACACGCAACCAAGAGGAAGGTGATTCAGTCTCCACGCAAGGGACATACAACACAACCGAAAAGCTTATCATGGTGTCCCACAGTAGCCACGGCATTAAGGCATTTTCCCCCTCAAATCGGTTAATTAGCTTCAACTTTAGCTCCAGTGGACTTGACCAAGCAAAACCCGTCTGCTGCAGAAAATACATTTTGGTTTTGAGTGGCAGTTCTCATTTCCTCAGTTCCCCCAGCAGCTTCTGTATCCTGTTCATCACTGAAGAGCTGCAGGATGGCCTGTGTTCTGCTCACACTGTTTTCAAACCTCCCAAATCCTACCATATGCTATCAGTGAGGCCTACATAAGGAAACAGGAAGACTACAGAGTGAGAAAAAACACAGGGAGGTCTATCAACAAACCAAGCCTACCTACGGATATTCACTGCAGAAGACCAATTCTGTCATCCTCTAGCAATTACTTACAGCTGCCAGCTTTGTGAAGAGGCACAGAGTCCCATTCTGGTGGCGGAGAATCCTTTTCCCCTTCAGAGCTGCTGGTGTTTCCTAGCTCTTGTCCAGAACCACTGGGGAGAAATTTTGCTAATACTGATGGCCTGCTCTCCATTAATTTACTGTTGGGACCTATTAAAACAAGAGAAGAAAAGCAAGTCCGTGGATAGTAAACTGCACAGCTTCCCTCACACACCACATGGAGAATTAAGCACTCAAAAGTAATTACAAACAACCAAACAAAACTCCCGAGGTATTTATAAATAACAGCCTCGCACTACCTCTCATTTTGGGGAGGTTTCTTGATTTAGACCCATTCGTCAAAAGGTGCTGTGTAGATATCTTGGATTGAAAGGTTTTGCGCTGCTTGTTTTCCAGCGGGGGTGTATAAGATAATTCCAAGGAACTAAATGAAAACAGAGATCCATTTATTTTTAAGCTCTTCAAAGCACTGAAGACATTTTATATATGTATTTTT